CCTATGAACTAATATGTCTTATAACCAAAAGTTTTTTATAGATAAGTTTTATGCAGCTTCTTAGGAGCAAAACCGTAAAAACCTAGCATTGATAGAGTATGAGTTTTAAATTCAATAATAACTATTCAAAATTCACGAAATAATCTACATAATCTAACTTTCTAAGACTAATTGAAAATCTTAAACCTCATGTTAGTAATACTCTTTTCTTCAGTTTCTATCAACTGATAATCAGACAAGTTATGAATAACACGTAGGATTTAAAAAAAGTAGTCACACTAACTTTCCACGTTTTAATGTATATTCAGTAAGGATATTACTTCTCTGAAATTCAATACAATCTTTTCAATTTTTTTTACCAAATTCCCCCATTTTTTGTAAGTTGATTTTGCAATTTTAGTTTACATTTTAATTCTAATTTTATAAGTTAGTTTTGTAGTATTTATTTTATCTCAATTTAAAATTTCCCATTTCAAAGTTGAAATTATTAAAAACCAATTTATATTACATTCATTCATTCAAATATTTAACATGTAATCTATTTTCCCTCAGTTTTAAGTAGAGCCTTCTAGCAGTTCTAAATTTCTATAAAAACATCATCGTTATGTATTTTCCGAATAATTTGAGCTAATGGAACATTATTTGTAAATCGTAACCTCAGAATAAATATAGTGACCAATAAGATACGTACATGATAACACTAGATATTTAAAGTGCTACACATATCTTTAAATAATTACACTATCACCAATACTGTATTAACACGCTAAATAAATACATAATTACACATAAATACACCTACCATTAAAAGGAACTAAAATCTAAAACCCTTAACTATAAACATAAAAAATTATAAAATCCCATAATCATTTCATTTTCACCATTCATTTGTCGTTCCTACAAAGTTCTTAAATATGCCAGATTTTGACAACTCAGTAATCATCCTAATGCACAAAGAAAAGTTTAATTATAATTCTGGCAGTAAAGTCGAAGCAGACTGATTAACATTCAATTCTAGATCTAATTTCTGGACCCACAAAGTTTTTTTGGTTATTAACATTATTCTCTTTAAGCGTTTCCTACAATAAAGAAATCTTGAAATTTATGGAATCATTTTTTTTTAAATTCAGTTCTACGTTGGAATAAACACCACCCACAAACAGCGGCCCAGGAGATTTTGAAATAATGACTAATTTCTAATGCACGCAAGCTACAACTCTAAGAAAACTGTTGTCATGTAGGTAACACGCTCCCATACAGAAACTACAGAAATTAAAAATTTCTATGTCAATGTTAATATTGATTATAAACAGATAGTTATAGGCCACACTCATATAAGTTCATTTCATATCTCATTGGTAATATTCAAAGTTCATTCTGTTCTAAGCAATTATAAAATATCTAAAGTAGTCCTAGTTTCTACTTTGCAGGGTATCTACTTGTTAATTTTAAAACGTTATTCAGCAATGTATTTGAATATATTTGATATTATGATAAAAGTACTTGTCATTTCACACTAAGCCCTGTAGTGTATTTTTGTAAACACTTCATTCAGGATCAAAACATTCTGGTATAACGAAAAAACTGAATAATCTGATTTTCTTTCATCTAGCTTGTCATTAAAATGTTCTAAAATGGTGGTCTGACGAAGTACTAACCACGACTTGCTACATTATGACCAGGATTGTTGAATTTAAAGGAATGGATCAAATAAATAAACAAGATGCTCCTCGGGAAATCATCTTTAGTAAAGTATGTAATATTGTTCAAATATCTAAATAAGTTAGAAAACAAATTACAAGTGCATATCCTCTAAGTTATAAGATACACTTTCGTTGTCGAAAATATATATATTATTAATCTTACGATCATCTCAAGACTCAAGTTTAGTAGCTACTTAGCTGAAATTCCATATCTTTATATCTGAATATACTTCGTATTATAGCTGTATTTTATTTTATAAAACTTTAGGTTGATTATATTGTAATTAATTTATGATTTAATGAAAAACTTATGCCTGGATTGTGAGAGACCACGATGTTCGATTTCACTAAGCGACATGGAAGCCATAGCACAGAAGCATACATGCACCTGGCTAATGCAACATACAAAAATCCTTCAAATACATCAAAACTGATGTTTAATTATTAAAAAGCCCTCAGTGGCTCAGCAGTAAGTTTGGAGGCTTATAACATTAAGCCTTCCAGGTTTCCATAACCGTGGTGACCACAGAACAGATAGCCCATTGTGTGGGATCGTGTCTAACAAGAAATAAACAAAAGTTATTTAAAAAACAAGAATAATAAGTTTTGATGTTTAAAAAATATTGCTTCGCAACTCAAACAAAACTCTACAGATTTTAAGAAAACTAAATATTTTCTGAAGCACCATGGAAACCAATGTAAACCGAAAAATAAACATACTAAAACAAACATTACAAGTTAAATATAAGCATTGTTTCGTTGAGCTATGCTTAATTAAAATGTGTTCATTCCTAAACAAAAATTCAAAGGCCGAGAAGGCACCATCAAAACCTTAATAATAGCATCTTGAACTTCAGCATATCACATTTACCTCTATATAAGGTTTAAAATGTTATTGTTAATACAGGAAATTTTATTAATTTCCATAAGTGTAGAAAAGACGGCTATGTGGCTTATCAGTATTTTGTATATTGACTGATTACGAACTAAAGGACAAAAGCTTTAACAAAGTATACAGAGATTGAATGCGTTATATTAAAACGAATTTGGAGACTCCTCATGTCATTACAGTCCTTTTCGCCACGTGCGGTCATGCTCTATCTGACGGCCGTGCATCTCCACAATAGCACTGCATCTTTCCATTGCTAAAAGCTCCGTTGTAAGATTATTTATTATGTTGGTAACGAGTGTTGTCGACTAGCTACTTTCTCTCTGGTCTATCAGTTGAAAATTAGGGACGGCTTGCATCGATAGCTCTTGTATTGCTTTGCACACATATTTTAAACCAACCAACAAGTCTTATAATTTTATAAATAACGGTCAAATATCTCACTTATATTGTTGATGTGTAAGCTAAAAATTCGTAATTGTTTATTCGAGTCATACTTTTATATAAAAGTGTTTATTTCAAATGCATAAAGTTTATCAGCACTATATATTGAGCATGTTGATACGCGTAAATCATGGTCTATTTCCTAAAAAGCAAATTATGTCCCCAGTGGCTTAGCGATAAGCTTGAAAGCTTATAACAAACCAGTTCAGGGTTCTACATCGTTTAGGTAGCAGAAGATAAAGAATATTGAATTTTAAGCCTATTAGTGAACTTATTTGTTTTCCAGAACACTTTGATTTATAAAAGTTTTCTAACTTGGAAGAGAGGATATCATTGTCCCGCTTTTTGCTTAAAAAGAAACAAGCCTAACAAAAGCTGCTGTTTTTCTGGTGTTAGGTTAAGTTGAACTTTTGTCACCATCCGGTACAATTCATTAAAATATTTAAATAAACTAAACGTCCTTAGCCATACTGTTCAACATTTTCCATATAAAAAAGAAAACCGCAACCCAAAAATTAAGTGATTATTTTCTGCTTTTCTTTCAGATCGAACGACTAATTCGAGAGATGCAGCATCCAGAATCAGGCGTTCCTGTGAGAAGTCAGAAACTATTTCTCACATTCATTCCCTCTGTTTTTATGGGTAGGTTAATGTATTGTTGTTTTTTTTACATCTAATTTCAATTTGTGTGAACAACAGTAATCTTCTGAAGGTAGTGATAGTTGACTCCAAATAATACTCCGTTTTTGTGTTTAAAAGAACATTATGAATGTTAAGGTGCTAGAAAAATAAAACTAACGGAACGTTTCGTCACGTATCTAAAAACAGCTTGTAAAGTAGCACACCTCTCAAGATACTCTAGGAATTCCAAGAGCGCTAGAACAAAAAAAACACTAAAGGGGTTGTCCCCTTTCACCAAGTTAGAAATATTTTATAAATCAGGGTACTATGAGGTGCAATGAAATTCGCTGATAGGCAGAAAATTTTGGGTTTTTTCAACTTCTACTTCCTGAAAGAATTTATTTAACTTATGCCATATTTAACCAGATTGAGATTGAACAAGTATATTATTATATAAAATTATATTACATAACTTGTGATAGAGGTAACTTAATTATTCTCTCTTTTTCTAGGCTTTGATCTAGTGGATTGGCTGATGAACAGACTCAATATCAAAGATTTAGGTGAGACTTTGAATGCCTATTAATTTTTTAAACATGTTTTAGACTACCTATCAGCGGGGTTACTCGGGATTTTATTTTCTCCTTCATTATTCATTAGTTTTCTTTATTTCACTTTCCTTACAATTTCGAGTACTTAGAAAGTTGTCATTTTGTTAATATTCATTGAATTAAAGAAATTTGAATTTTCAACCTGAATGGCACCACACGCACACAACGTCCAGATCGGAGACCCCTAAAATTCACGTATAGTCAACTCTAAGTTTGAAAAACTGTCCAAAAGAAAAGGCAGCCAGCTAGCAGCACCTGCTACACAAGTGCTCTGTCTGACTCCTTGAATCGCAAATAGAATTGACTGTTATTTTTTAATCAGTTATTTTTATAAGCGCCCACAGTGGAAAAACGCATTCGGCAGGATCACGTCTTGAACCACATACCTTTCAGTTCGCAGTTTCACAGCCATGCCCGTAGTCAAGATTACACAATTTATTATGTGCACTGTGACCGCAACGGGTATCAACCCCTAATTTTAACGTTAGAAGCCATAAAGATTCCCACTGAGTCACCGGAAGTTTCTGATATCTACAGATGGATTTTAGTGAAGAAGATTAATTCAACAATTATTATTTTAACTCAGTTTAAACTTTTCATCTAGAATCTATTCTAAGGGTCTTGTGTGTTGTCTTTATTAATTATGTCATTAAATTGTTTGTTTGTTTTGAATTTCGCGTAAAGCTACACGATGGCTACCTGCGCTAGCCGTCCCTAATTTAGCAGTGTAAGAATAGAGGGAAGGCAGCTAGTCATCACCATCCACTTGGGCTACTCTTTTACCAACGAATAGTGGGATTGACCGTCACATTATAACGCCCCCACGGCTGAAAGGACGAGCATGTTTTGTGGGACGGGGATTCGAACCCGCGACCCTCAGATTGCGAGTCGTGCGCCCTATGCCGAGCATGTCATTAAACGTGAATCGAAAATGAGAGAATTTTACTTTAGTTTACTTTAATTACTTTAGTTTTTTTTTTATTATAGAATGGCCATGACATTAGATCTCATGAAGCACCTGCAAGGGATTAGATCACAGCAAAAAAGACGGGAACTTTCTAAGTAAACCAGATAGAATTCTTATAAATATAGATGTAAAAAAGTGGGAATTGAAATCTTGCTTTCTCTTCAATTTTGTTTCTTTTCCTTTAGTTTTAAGGTAAATTTACCCAAAAGCTGATATATAAATACATCCTCAAACTTGATCTTGGTTCTTTGCTTTAATTTTACTGTTTTGTATAATAATTCTTTGTTTATTTGTATTGTTTTCTTTATTAGGAATTTAATTTTCCAGTAACTGTTTGTTAACTTATTTCTAAATCTGTATACTTAGTTCATATGAATTAATAATAATAATTTGGTGTATTCAATTGTTTTACAGTTTTATAACCTACTGAATTAACTATTGTAATTACTTGCTTGAAGCCTTTTTTAATTTCAGTGACAAGGGCGAGCATATTTGGTGTGACGGGGATTCGAACCCGCGACCCTTAGATTGCGAGTCGAATGCCCTAACCACCTGGCCATGCAGGGCCTTGTACACAGAAATTCTTTGATATTCATAAATTATATACGCAAATCTTCATACGTGTTAAATATCTCGTAAGCACGATGAAGAGGTATTTTATCTAAACATTCTTAAAAAAAATAAGTTAAAATACGATCCTGTAGAAGTTGTTTAATGGTACACTTCACATTTGAAATGGCCATTATTATTATTTATAAGTGTCCAAGAATGGACATTTATGACCTTCCGAATTTTCAACAGTAAACTTCGTACTGCTCTGTCTACTGTAAAAATCATGTGACCTGATCAGAATTTTTAAAAATGGTGAAAGCGTCATTCATATACCTGCGACAGTAGAGTGGTTTAAAGTCTTATGAGCACTTTGTCCAGCCACTAAGGTTTATGACAATACCGTTAACCCGATCAATGAACTTTCCATTCAAAATAAAATGAGCAATTTTAGTAGCAGTTAATTAATTAAAAACATTATTTTGGAATGTTTACTTCGTCATAATTATCATAATAAATCAAATCAACACTCAGGTGTGTGGTCTCTTCTAGTGTTATAGTAGTGTACAATGATTCAATGTCAAAGCTGGTACAGTGAACGATAGTGGGACACAATAAGATATTCCGTTACTGGACCCTGCTGCAGAAAATAGCACTTAGGGTTAGAATAGTTCATGACCTTGGCCGAATTTACAATTTTCCGAACTAAAACTTTAGAAAAATTTAAAACATCTATATATATATGAAACATACTCTAAAATTGAGTGAGCTTTGTGGTACATACATGGTACAGTACGCTACCTGAAGAAAGGCATCACCGAAGATGCTTTAATGAAACCAATATAATTATTTCTCGTTTTAGTATTATCGTGTGCATAACAGATTAATCTATTTTAATTTAAGTATATAATGTTGTAACATTCAAAATATAAAAAAATAGTAAAACTTAAAAAAGTTTAAGAAGTAAACGTTTGGGGTTCACATCCTATGAATTGATTTTGTTTTGCTTGTCAGCTGAAGCCATTCATTTGGCCAACCTAATCTGTCAACATGGATATTTCTTTCCTGTAAATGACACAAAGCTTACGTTGAAGGATGACGGCACACTTTACAGATTTCAGGTTAGTTTCATACTTTTTAGATATTAATATTTAAGCTAAAGGTTAAATATATATCATTGCTCTCCCAGGACTTTACATTGTTTGTTAGTTATAATTGTTGTGCTGGTTATAAGGTAAATCACTAGGATAAGAACGGTTTGCTTGTAGTAATGCAGTGGCGTATTGCCATAGATAGGAGTATTGCCATAGATAGGAGCCGTGGCACCATGGGTAACACGTTTAATGAAGAGCTACATACAATAAATTCATTGTAAATTTCTTATCACTTAGTGTGTAATACTGTAATGAGTAGGCTTGTGGCTCTAAGGTATGTCATAGTTCTTCCTGAACCGAGGTTGTTAAACGAAGTCGAGTCTAAGCCTTTAGTGTTTTTCATGGAAGAGGAAACTTCTTACAGCAGAGCATTTAGGACAGAAAAACCCCAAGCATGTCCAGAGCAAGCCCTCATCTAAAGGTAAATCTATAGTAGTAAAAGAATACGCTCCAACCCAAAAAGCTATTATAATAAAGGCCTCGTATATTTCCTGGTATTGTTAAAAAATATAAAACAGGGAGTTGAAGTTCATCAAGGTTTACAAGCCTCCTATCACACCTTGAAATTAACCGTTATTTGAATATGAAAAATAATCAAATGACCTGGAATCTCATTACACTTAATATCTATTAATAACGAAACATGGACAACCTCATGTGAAGGCTATGAATATTACTGAATTACACAGGTCTGTGAATTTAAACTTCATAAAAGTTGTTTTGGTTTTAATAACGGATTTTCCATAATTCAGCTGCGCATATTTCGAAAATAATATTATTATTTTTTCTATCACGTAAGGATTTTCTACAGAGAAAAAAAAAACACTTACTTAGATCAAGTTATTATTTCGTTTGCCACAATGAACATGTTTTATTATTATGTTTGTTAACAAAAATACAAACAAACTGAAGAAAAGGGAAGAACATTGGTGTCAAACGAATATGCATCATCATTCATCCTGATTTGTTTGTGTGAAATCTACGTTTTTTAGTCTCAAAACTAGGTGTTGTGATCTTTCTTTTATGTATTTCATT